GGTTTGGTCTTTGAAAGACAAAGGTAAATGAAACAAAAACTGGCAAAAACGGATCAATAAACTTTTCATTAACAACCCCCCCCTCTCCGCCCCATGAGCCACTTACTACAAATCCTTCTTCCAGGAACATCTTTGACTCACAAAGAAATATTCTCCTCTCGCTGCACACCCCCACCCCGGCCGAGAATGGCCCCCGGGCCCGGCGCGGCGCCTCGGGGGGGCCCGAGCGACCCCCCAGGTGTTCAATGGCCCCGTSCGGGGGCGGCAGGGGAGGGGGCGGCACAGCGGCGGCAGCGGCACGGCGGGGCCAGCGCCAACTTTGGGGTGGGAGGGAGCTTGGGAAGGGCTCCRGCCGCCGCCGCCGCTGCGCCCGCCCCGCGCTGGGGAGGGGGCGGCGGGAGGGGCCGCTACCTGCGGCCACACACACCTGGACCTTCCTCCGCCCCCCCGGCCCCGCGCTGCCCTTCCTCCTCCTCGCCCTGTCCCCCACGGCCGCCGGGACAGCGCGGGGGACACGGGAGAGGGGCTCCAACCCCCGCTTCACACCGGCGGGGGGGCTGCGCCCCAAACCCTTCAGACATGCCGGCGGCGCCGGCCCCCCCGCGCTCACTCGCACAACCGGCCCCTCACGGCAGAGGCCGCCCGAGGGACGGGGCTGCGCCTGCCGCAGGTGCCCCCAGAGGGGGGGAACGGGCGGGGGTGAGGAAGAGGAGGACGGGGCCCGGAGCCCCCGGCAGGTGCCCCCCAGCCCTGCCTCACCTGAGCCGAGGCGCCGCGGGGGAGCGGCCGCGCCGCGCTCGGGGCACTGTTTGTAAACGGCTCCGCGGCAGCTGTTGCTCGGGCAGCCCCGGCCACGCCCCCGCCCGGCCACGCCCCCGCCCGGCCGCGTCCGACACGCCCACAAAGGGGCAGGGCTTCACTGGCCACGCGCCACGCGCTTTTCAATCAGCGCTGGCCACGCCCCCCTGACCACGCCCATCGCTGGCCCCGCCCATCCCGGCCCCTCAGGACGAGGGGTGATGGCCGTGTGCCAGCACATCGCCACCAACACCGCAATGTGAGGAAACACCGCTCCCATGGGGGGTGGCACAGGAGTCTCCSTCTCTGGAGACATCCCAAACCCACCCGGACGCGGTCCGGTGTCACCTGCTCCAGGTGGGCTGGGTGATTTCCAGAAGGCCTGTCCAGTCCCAGTTGTGATTCTGTGGGCTGGGTGATTTTCAGAAGGCCCTGTCCAGTCCCAGTTATTCTGTGATTCTGTGGGCTGGGTGATTTTCAGAAGGCCTGTCCGGTCCCAGTTGTGATTCTGTGGGCTGGGTGATTTCCAGAAGGTCTGTCCAGTCCCAATTATCTGTGATTCTGTGGGCTGGGTGATTTTCAGAAGGCCTGTCCAGTCCCAATTATTCTGTGATTCTGTGGGCTGGGTGATTTTCAGAAGGCCCGTCCAGTCCCAATTATTCTGTGATTCTGTGGGCTGGGTAATTTCCAGGAGCCCTGTCCAGTCCCAATTATTCCATGATTCTGTGGACTGGGTGATTTCCAGGAGCCCTGTCCAGTCCCAGTTATTCTGTGATTTTGTGGGCTGAGTGATTTTCAGAAGGCCTGTCCAGTCCCAATTGTGATTCTGTGATTGTGTTCCTGCTGTGCCTCCTCTCATGGCCCAGTCTCAGCCTGTGGTGATGCTGGATTTGGGCATTGCCTGATTACAAACTGAGGGCAGTGCCACGCAGCCGGTGTCACCCAGACACAAATGCAATTATAGCCAATACCGTAATAAGCATTGATCTTCAGATCAATGGATAGGATGGCCCCGAACCATTTTTTCGTGTGGTTGGAGCACAGAAGATCCCCAAGTGCTCAGTGATGGGCCTGGCACACACCAGGGCTGCCCGAGGAGGAAGGTTACAGAATACAGGGATTTTTTTACTGTGCAAATTGCCCCCAAAAGGCCAAAGGTTCATCTATTTTTCATTTCTCTCGACTCTCAGAGCACTCAGTTGCTCCCTGCTCCAAAGAGATGGACACTACAGAGGAATTCAGTGAGGCAGAGGTTTCAAATACATTTCTGAGTATCCCACTTTGCTCTGAGGAGGTTTTAGGAGTTAAACGCAATCTGTAATGTTGTTAGCAAAGTGCTTAATCTCTGCTAGACTCTGAGGTTAGCACCTCCCCGCAGTAAATGGGATAAGAAGTTTCCATGTGGTCTCTGGTTTTTCCCCCAAAGACACACTGAGACCTGCTAAAGTCAGTTTAGTTTACATCACTAGGTTTACATCACACCCAGGGGCTCGTTTCCTTCAATATAAAAATCATCCTGCCTGAATGGAGGACRTTTCTAAAATAATTGCAGCTAAAATCATGTGTTTGGGTTGGGGTTTTTTTTAATGTGTTTTTTTTTAAGTTTTACTCCAAATGTTCTCCCARTCTAAAATGAGCAACGCTACCCAGACTGAAATTTAGGTCACTTATTTGGCAAATAAAGATTAATCAAAACCATTAGAGAATGTGTAATRTATACACAAGGTAATATACTCACTCACCAGGTAATTCTGGAACATGAAATACCTTTATTGGCAAATTTGAATGTTGCCTCACACYGCCTTGAAGCAGATTTATTTTTGTGAAGAGGTCAAACCTGATAAGCCAAAATTTTCAAGTATAGATATTTAAGTCCTGACCCTTCACATAGTTGCATGGGTAGATAGAGCAGCCTTACTAATTTCCTGAAGGTTAAAAATCTCTGTGTCCATCAGCTGTGTGAAGCATGAGGAAAAGGGATTTACTTTGTGCTTTTTCACCGATTTTCAGGTGTTTAATCCAGGCCTTCCATTGCCCTGAGTGAAGTTTTGAATTGGCACGGGGAGAGCTCATTGCACAATTCCTGCTAGTTTAATGTGATTTCTTTGCAGTAAGATGTATCCAAGCCMGGGTGTTTATTCGTGCATGCAAAATATTCCTTTGTCTTGCAAGAGCTCTGCATTTCTTTGGAACTTGCTGCACGCCACCTTGCACTATGTGACCAAACCYGATCCCACACACACTCCCAAGTTTGAAGCACCCGAGCAGTTTAAGGATTGATTATCTACAAATGGCAGCGTGGCAAGGAGAACAAAGCAGGATTTTGCWGAAATGGGTGCGGGAGTGACCAGTTTTTGCTACACCAAATGACTCTGTTAACAGTCTGTTAAAATATTCACTCTTTCTATTGTGCTCTGATTTCAGCATTTTTGAAAGGCCTTCTATTGAAGAGTTAAAAACAAATTCCAGGCACACAGACTTATAAAAATAATAGATTTCTATTTTTTCACCTAACTGTATGTCCTTAAAGGCTCCCTGAGTCAGGTGTTGTGATATTTCTTGTTCTCATGACACACCAAGACCCATTTCTTGCCCCCTCCACCTTTAATTTTTAAAAAATTTTACTTTCCACCAGGTGAAATCTATTGACCTCCTTGATCCCAAGGGCTGTTTTCCTTGAGCCACGGCTCTGGATAACTGTAAACATGACTTTGCAGAGAACACAGGAGGTGTATGGCTTTTATCCACTGAGATATGGCACCTCCGTGGAAAACATTAAAAAAAAAAATAAAAAGACCGTTTCAGAAAAAAAAGGAGAAGCTCAGAATGTCTTATAACTTTTCTTCTTTTGCTCAGAATGCATCATATAATATCACATTACAGGAGTGAAATGAAAACATCCAATTTATTTTTACAGATTAGCCACGGTGACCTCTGTGATTTATGCTCATGGTGCTGGAAATGTTTGATATGAGGCAAGGGCCAACTTGGAAAAATAAATCCTAGATTTTCTTCTCCCTCTGTTTTGCCCTGTGTTGAGGACATTTGCTGCCTTGCTGGAGAAGCTTCCCCAGTCRATGTTTTATGCATGAGGCAAAAACTTCTACAACAAATGCAGGGACRGACCTGTGTTTACTGTTCTGCACTATATGTTACTCCACAGTCTTGCAATATTAAACCTAGCCCCAAACTAGACTTTGGAACCAGGCAGCACGCCCAAAATTGTGATAATCTCCTCCAGAACAACAGAAAGAAATAAAATAACATTGCTGAAAGCTGAAAAGCTTCGTTCCAGTCCCCAAACTCTTAATGCACTTAAATGTCAAAATTCTTTTTAAATTGCATTATGTACAATTACATTCTATAGAAATCCAGGCTGGGAGTTTTGTGATCTGGCTCAAGTCCTGCTCTTCTCAGAGCACACAGAGGGAAACCCTGGCTGTCAGGGAGAATAAAAACAGAGCTGAGCAGGCAGCAGGAAGCCTTCACCTAAATTGAAAATCTTTCGAGGGTTGCTGTGGGTGTTTGTCTCAAAACAAGCGACCTGAGCAGCAAAACACCCCGGCTGTCCCTGGCAGCAGGAGCTCAGCCAAGTTTCATTCTTTTGCACAGGGACTGTCTCATTTGAGATTCATATTTAGGCAGCTATAAAATCTGGCCTGTCGTGTGGTTAAGGCACAAATGGGATTTGGGGGAGCTGGGCTCAGTTCCAGCTCTGCCACAGACTTCCTGTGTSATCTTGGGCAAGTCTTCTCCCAGGSTTCCCGAAATTTGGCCCTTTTGGGGGTTYCTTAAGCCCCTGCTCTAGCAGTCAAGTCACTACATGAAATTCTCCATTTGCTGGCATGAATAGATAAATAAAGTAAATAGACAGTGTTTAGGCTTTTAAGGAGATAAGCTTGAAACCAGGATCAGAGTGTAACCTAATGGCTGGAGAAGTCCTCTTTAAAACTGTTYGGGCTGGAATATAAAATTCTACACCCTCCATTTGTGCACAACAAATACCTATTTGCAAAAGCAGGATCGTGTTGCTCCTTTGCTTACCAAATAAAYAGTTTGTGTAACGCTCAGGCGAGAGGGAGGCTAGAAAATAAAATCATTTATGAGAAGCTTTATCGGTGCTTTGTGGCTTGGTTTGTTGTTGAGYTGCTCTGCACAAATCACCTCTTTGAGCGCGGTTCGAGCGCAGATCCCGTGCCGGGATGGCGCAGTSGGGCCGGGTGTTTACAGGAAACGCCTGCGAGCGCAGTGCACGGCTCCGATGTGCCCAACACACGAGTGCTGTCGCTCACCGGGGCTGGGATGAGCCACAGCGGTGACAAAGCGGTGACAAAGCGGTGACAAAGCGGTGACAAAGCGGCTCCTGGCGACATCAGGGGCGATGCGCGCAGGGCAGCGCGGCGGGGCTCGCCCTCCCCCAGGAATGCTCCGTGCTCTTTCCTTAACCCCTGTCTCCATCCCCAGCCCCGGCAGCAGCAGCTCTGCCCCCCGTGCCACTCCAGCCCAAACTGCTGCATTCTTTAACAACGCCCTCCGAGCGATTTGGCTGCTCTTTGGAGGGGCTTTGATGCTCCGCTCRAATTTGCTGTCTGAGCAGCACGTTTAACGTACAACAGTTTGTTTTTGTAATGATAAAGGAATCGCAGGGGCTTTCTGTCGTTGTTTTATACATCCTGTCTGTGTAAACTCATAGATTTCAAATCCTGCGAGGCACGTTGACAGTGCGGCTATTAAAGATTTTCTGTTTGACCTTGATTTTGTTTTGTTTTCGCCGCGTATGAACTTTAACAGACTTCAGGCATGACGTCCTTTCTTTTTCCTTATCACAGTGCCCATAGCGCAGGAAAATACAAGTAAACAGAAGCTTCTTCAACAGCACACAGATTTCTCAAAGAAAATGTCTCACTTTTTTTTCCTCATTTTACTCAACCTGCAGTTCTGTTCCTGTACTTTGTTCTGCAAATGGATCCTTTTCGAAATGACAGCACAGCACAATGTGAATGTTCTCTTTTCTTGTAACTCATGGGKTGAAAGATCTCTGGGATCCTCCTGGTATTTATTCAAGCACGGGGYTGTTGTCTGATCACAACTCTATCACAACAGCAGGAACAGCAGCATTGTTGCTACTCATAAATAGAATAAAGATTTGCATGGAGAAGTACAATCTTTTATGAGATGTGGCTGCAGGGGAGAGAAGAGCTTTCAGGCATGCAACCCTCTGTGCTGAAAACAGAGCTTCACATGCRTGTGTGCAGGGCAGCGAGGGAAGAGAAATGCACTGGTGAAACACAAATTTATGGAAAAGGCTGCTTGAGCAGATAAACAACCCTGAGATGGTGAAGTCATACCCTGTGCCCAGAGTGGCTCCGTTATCAGCACCACAGGCCTTAAAACTTCAGTTGTAACTTTCCAAATTGTCCTTCCSAGTATCACAGGGCTTTTACTCTGAATATCGAGGGCTGGATCTAGAGACTGGCTGTTAATCCTCTCCTTTCCTTGATTAGTTTGAGCTTCCAGCCTTCTCACTCTCAATTTATAAACTGCTGCTTTCTATGGCTTGGATATGGCAAAATAAAAGCACATTCACTCATGTTAATTAGCACCTGACACCATTCTTCAATTAAAAACAGGTCTAATATTAAAAGCCCAACCCTGTGCTGACTACTCACATRCAGAGGTAGGTGTGCACTGAACTGGTTCTAAAACTGAAGCCTAAATATATTGTTTTGATAGGATGACATGTTTAAATTCTCATTTTGTTAATACAACTTTTCTCAGTCCATTAGAGAGCTCAGTGCAAGCTTGTTACAAAATAAGTTGCAGACCTCAGGTTTTACAGACTTGTGAGCTCTGTAAGATTTTGAATTTTTGATGTAGATAAAGCAGAATTTTACAGCCATGTTTCACTTCTGACACTTGTGCTGTAGGTGTAATTCAAATGTCACCTTTTTTTTCCACTTCTCCTTTTGGGACCATTTTCTATTTCGCCTTCAATTACAGAAGTTTTTCTCCCCGTTGTCTTGATCTTAAATTGCAATTTCAAGCACACCAGTAGTATTTGCAACAGAGTCTGTCATCAAAATAATAGCAGTAGATATTTAGAGTCTCACGAAATGTTTCCTAACTGAAGAAGGCATTTCTAGATTAATTCCTTTACTTCCTATGGCATACACCAAGTTTATTCAGAGACCAAAACTGCCTTTAAGGGTGGCAGTTACTGCTCCTTGTGATCGTTATGTGGAGGCAGATCCTAAAGAATTTCCCATGGGCAAGGGAGCAAAATTATCTGCCTTGAGATAACAGAGAGACTGAGGCATCTGTGCACATTAATTCAGAATTAAGGAAGTGTTCATTTGGTAAAGGTTTTAGTGTAAAATTACCCAGACTCTGTCAGACRTAACCCCTCAGAAAAATGTGGCAGTTCAGGTAATTTCTGAGCCCTACTTTTGCAAAAGTATTTACCCAAGAGTATGCCCTCCCTGGGTTGTAGTTCTACTCAAACATTTTAATTCCCCAAATTATAAAGAAGAGAGGAGAGGATACAAAAAGTGGGTTTGTGGTTCTTTTCACGACTTTCATGGTGTTAAAAATAATAATTATCTCTCGTAAACTGAAAGTGCTGATAKCATTAATAATGGATGATGGGATTCTTGCACATATGTTTATTAATTTATAAACACCACACAGCCTCAGAACGAAAGGTGTTCTATAAATAGCAAGCTAATATTGATCATTCCTGACATGGAATTACCATTCTTAGAGGGCTGCAACAGTTCTTTTTCCCCCTCCATCCTATTTTGCTAACAGAAAGAATTCCCTGAGCTTGGGTCTTTGTTATCATTATTTGTTTCTTCCTATTGTGCTTGCAGCAGCACTTCCTCCTTGTAGCAGAAATGCAGAAGAAAAACCTGAGGCTTCTCAGTTCTGAATGCAGTAGAGCTGCTGTGGCACCAAATGTGCATTTGAAAGGTGCTAAAAGAGAGCAGGAATTGTTTCCARGGAGGAATTAGCATGACAGTGGACAAAGGCTGGGGTGTGCCAGAGCTGCCTGGTTTCAGTGCCATCCATGGGAACGGGCATTTCCTGAGCTGCAGGACGGAGCTGCCTCCTGTTCTCACACACAGGGAATTGGGAATTACTGCTCAGCACCCCAAGAAGGGATCAGTTACTTCCAAACACATTCTCCTTTTCCCCTTTCACCACCGACAAGTAACTCGAGCCCTGTCCTTACATTTCTTGTGTTTATTTGATTTATATTTTTCTGCTCCGGTTTTCTTGCAAGGAGAAGGTTCCTATAACTGCGGGAGGTGGTGGGGCGAGCAGGTGAGGAACATTTGCCATCTCTGGGCTGAGTGGGAGGCGAGCACAAACCCCCACATTTCCCAGGTCTGAAAAGCCTTCAAGTGATTTCAATACCAAGCCCGAATTTTGTACTGGTACAGTGGTACAGCCTCTTTGTACCAAAATGTCCCAAAAGATCCCACCTGGGAAGTTTGGTCAATGCGCTGCCAATACTCACACACCAGCAGCTCCTGAGAGCCAGAAAATAGCAACTAAACCTGCCAAGTTAGAAAACATTTATAAAATATTGAGCTCCTGCTTCCCCAGTGTGCCCTTCCTCCAGTTCTGGCACTGCTGGGATGCAGGAGGATGAGGATGAGGATGAGGATGAGGATGAGGATGAG